GTTTATTGCCCATGCTCCGTGCATTGGTGTAAACACACTTGAGCTGGGCTGTCAATCTCACCCCTGGCCTTGGCACGCCAAGCCTAGGCTCATCCCTAGTGAGCTGGGCAATATCCCCTTCCCCCTTCGAACCTAGTTTAAAGCATTTTATTAAGCTGAATACCTGTGTCACTAGCATTAGTGGATTTGTGGAAGTACGTCCCCCGGGGAGGGTCTGCAGCGTGTGTCTCTGGTGATCAGCCTTTGCTGGTACAGGCCAGGTGTTCTGCTGCTGTAGGACAGAATAGAATTAGCTTTTGGGAGAACAGCTTGCTGAGAAGGCAAGGCAGGTTTCACTGGTGTCTGAGGATAAAGAGTATGCTGTAAACATCCAGATTATCTTGGAATATCACAAGCAATGGGTTTGTGCTGTGTAGTAGGCAAATGGTTGCATAATTACTGCTTACGTTTGCGTTAAGAAAATTTATTCACGATTAATGATGCTTATCTTTGTGCGGGACACCTGCCAAACGATTTATAGCCACGCGTATGATCTGCAGTTGCTTTTTTTTGTTGCTATTTAAAGTGTTTGGGATTATTCTAATTGCATCTAATGTATTTTAAATGGAGAGTGCTACCCTGGTGTCCTTGTCAGCATTCCCTACTCATACAAAAAAAGTAGGTCAGATTTACCCGTAACGGGGAAGGTCACAACTCCCGGTGAACTCAGGGGGAATTTAATTGATGTATGACAAGGCTGGAATCATGTCTCAGGTATAGATCAGTTTGAGTTGATCTTTTTCTAAGTTCAGTAATAAATACTGTATAATTCCACGTTGGAGCAGAGCCAGGCTGAATGTTGCTAAACCGCAGCAATGGTGCAGAGTGACTAAAGAAACCTCTTGTCCCATGGAAACTTGCAGAAAGAGCCACTGGTCCCTGCTCGATGGGTGCAATCCGTGGAGAGTGAGGGGACAGAACTGGACCGTCAGTCTTTTGTCTTCCAGTGTTGGATGCTTTTGAGGACTCTGGTGCGTCTTGGACTAGCACCGTGCGTCTCGCGTGGAAACGTCTGCCCCTGGGTGCACATCTGGAGCTTGTGGTTGTCCGAGCAGTGGCTGGAAAATGGGAGAAGCTTCCCAGAGGCTTTTTTCCCTCCCTAGCTAAGCAGGTATTAATTAGACTGGGATTTGGTGCTAGAGGTTTCACTAACATCGAAAATGAGATTAAATTTTGAACACTTCAGAAATCAGATATTTATTTGTCAGCTGTATGCATATTTATTTATTTATACCATTTTGACACTATACTTGAATGCCTTGTTTTCAGCAGAAATGTAGGTTTCTAAATGGAAGTCTGTTATTTAAAACTGGTTTTATTCAATCCTCTCATTAAGAGAATTAGCAGTGAATTAGAGAATGTAAATGCATTGTTATGATCATTAGAAAACTTGCGTATGGCTTTTTCAAGACTGCCTGTATATTCCCAGCCATTACACCTAATGTATGATATCCTTGTTTTTCTGAACAAGATTCCTTACAAACCAAACAAAGCTAAAAGGATGCTTGTGTCTAATCCTTCAAATATACAAAAACAGTATCTCATTATTTAATTTCATGAGAATCTATTAGTGCAGACTGTTAATTGGCTAGGCCTGTATTATAAAGGATATTGAATAAATTGAGATAATCAGTTTCGGAAAAGTGAGATATTTTTTGGAGTAAAACATATCTTGAACGTATTTAAGCAATTGCATGAATTTAATCATAAAAAGTCTTGGTGAAGTCAATTTTTAAAATGTAAATTTCATTTTTTTTCCTCCATTTTTCCTCTATATTTGCCAGTTTACAGCTAGCCATGCTGACACATTTGGGAGCTGAGATATACTGGAACTAAATTTGATGTGAAGTGTTGGTGGCCTTCCTAATGTAATTTATTCATGTTTCTGTAGATAGCATATGTTGCCTGTGCAATAATTTTTTATCGTATCAGGACAGAACAGCTACTGTTCCAAATTGTGTTATACAAACCTAGATATACAGACAGATTTTTATTGTGCTTTGCTGTGGTGTAAATCAGTGGACTCTATTGAGCTCTGCTGGGGTGGGTGAGATTAGAATCAGTCTCACGGTGTCTAATTTATTTCTATTTTTCCTGACTTAATGTAATCTCTGTTCTTGCTCCGTGGGGAGCAGCAGCCAGTTATCTTTGTAGTCCTGCCCAAAGAATGAACATATGCAAAACCCCTTGTTTTGGGCAGGAGGCTGCTACTCCCAGGGATTTACTGCTGTTTGCTGACCCTTGGTATGCTGAGATGAAGGCAGTGTGTTGAGGAAGCAGCCGATGAGCGCTACTGGTGCTTCATTAAAAATCTCAGCATTTTTGGCAGCTGTTACCTGAGGTTTCCTTGGATTTGCCCATTTCATGGGCATGTTGTTTTTACGGCATTCTGCTGGACCTGGAGAGCTGCCCTGCAATTCAGATGAGTGTTGTCTGTGCAGGGCTGGGCGTGCTGGCTCCCCTCCAGTACTTAAATCTGAGCATCTGAATAATTTCTTCCCTTGTTTTGCATTTTTGGGTGTGAACAGTGTTGGAGCCAATGTCACTAATTCTGTCTCTTTCCCTTGACAGAAAGTTGGTGACTCCGTTCTCTGACCGTCATAGATGGTAACTGCAATGCTGAAGGCACTGGGCGAGTTGCTCCTCCTCAGCTCTTCTGTGTGAGGTGAGCAGCCATCTAGATGGGCAAAATAAATTAATTGCAGGATGTCTGAGGGCCCCCTCTTTCTCTCTCAAGGACTTCCCTACTGTAGTTGCACGGGGAGAACTGAGGTCCTCTCTATGTCGTTTCTGAAGGATGCTCAAGATTTCTGAGCTTCACTTGTGCCTCATATAAGGCCACTTGTGGTCTGCGTTACATTGTCTGGGTGTTGTACTGAGTGGGTTGCATTCTGAACTAAATGTGAATTCTGAACTAAATTAACCTGGAAGACACGAGCAAAGGAATAACTCTGGTCGCTTGCCAGCATTGCTGTATTTGATCAGCTTGATGGTTTTTCAGGTCTTACCTGAAATGCCGCTCATCTGAAACGCAAGAATGAACTAAACCAGATAACAGATATTACATTGTATCTTCTACCGTAGTTAGTCAATATCTGATTAAATATAATTGCATGAATTTATCATGATAGAAACTGTCTGAGTAATTTAAATACAGCTTGAAATTAAAAGTTTTACTGTGTATTCAATATGTACTATTTTCAGGTTTATCTTCACTTTTTTTATCAAGACTGATGCTGTGTATTATGTATTATGACAATGCTGGTGTTCATAAGGTTGTGAATTTAATGGAATTTTCTGGACCAACCTTCTAATAACTGATAATTTTAATGAAAATCACCAAGGTTATGCCAGTGAAGACAAATCTTGAAGACAGGTGTTCTTGCTCTCCTTACGCTAATACAGATGTGACATTTTTTACTTATAAAAGTAGGATTAATCGCTAATAAGTAGAAGTATGTTGAGAATGTAAACATGGTATAAATACAAAAGCTATTACATAAGAAAAAATTAATATGTACATTTCCATCAGAAACTAGCTCTTGATTGATGTGGCATGTATCATGAACATTTTTTGAGACTTCAAAACTGTTCCCACTTGAATGCGGATGAAAATATCTTGAAACTCCTGTAAAATCTGCCTAAGAAAGTGGCTGTTTGGTCGTCTTTTGGGGTGAGAGAAACACAGATTTGAATTACTGGGCTAAATCAGAAATTGTAAGATTTTATTTTGTAACTTGTCTGGCAAAATCTCTCTTGCTTTGGAGCTTTTCTGCAGTCTGTAAACAATGTAGACATTCACTGCAGCAGGCATTTAGAAGTTGGGCTCCTGCTTTGTATGGGAGGCTGAGAGAGACATTCCTCCTTGCTTTCAATGCTGCACAGTGATTATTTTAATGAGTTGTACGGTGTAAAACTGCTCCAGCAACAGGACTTGGTCCATTCCTGTCTCAATCCCAGCGTGGTTCTGGTATCCATCTGAAATGTTGGAGAGCTTAATTAAAATCCTTTAATCAGAGAGACCTCTCCGGAGTAACTGGTTGCTGGTTGAACTCAAAGATCCGGGACGTAAACACGAGTCCCAAATTCCAGAGAAATGCCCAAGTAATGCCTAGTTTTCCCTTTCAGGCTGGTTCGTCATGTACTGGTAGGCAGCCGCTGCTTCCCTGCTTTTCCTGCTGCATTTCTCATGTTTCTTTTGTGTATCCCATGTTCACACATGGTATGGAGCTGAAACAGTGCCAGGCCTGGTGTTTTGGTCAGGCATTGGAACAGGCTGTCCAGGGCAGTGGTGGAGTCCCCATCCCTGGAGATGTTCAAAAAACGTGTAGGTGTGGCACTTTGGGACATGGTTTAGCAGGCATGGTGGTACTGGGTTGATAGTTGGACCTGATGATTTTAGAGGTCTTTTCCAACCTTAATGATTCTGTGATTTCAGTTGTCAGGGATCTTAAATGTAGGACATGGCGTCTGTATTCAGAGCTGAATTTTGCACCTGGAATCTATTTTCGGCTTCGGTTTAGCCTGCCTGTAGCATGATAATAGTCACGCTAAAGGTAAATGAAATAGAGAAAGGAAGGGACACATCACAGACTGTTATCAGATCCCTTGCCATTTATTTGCACTGACAGATTTCTTCTGAAGAACCTGCTAAAAGCATTTCTGATGGCTGTATTGACAGGGTGGGACTAGAGGTCCTACGGGAGCTGGCCCTCTCCTCTCTCTCATTCGCCGCCTTTTCTCCCTCTCTTTCGCTGCCAATAGAGACTGTTCATAGACAGTCTCTATTAACAGACCTGTCCTCCCCGAATCTGGCACACAGGGACTATGAAACGCACAGCGGCCACCAGGTTACCCTTAGGTGGAGCCTGTTGCCCTGGTGTTTGAAGTCTTTTAGCAAGCTTTTTCTTTTTTTATTAATTCTAGGACCAAAGAAGACAAGAGACTGAATTATCTGAATTATGCTTCTACAACAGAACTGGATTTCTTCTCATTGGGCATGGCAGAGCCTGGGGAAGTCCTTCCTCTTGTTTGTTTGCTTAATCTTACAAACAGCTGATCTGGAAGCCAGGAGAGGTCATCAGTTTGTGTGGAAAACAGGTAGGAAAAAGATATGTTGGCTTATTTACTAGATAATTCCTGCATTCAAAGATAGATTGATTGCCCTTTCGCCAATCTGTTCTAGCTCAATAATCAATTAAAAAATCTTGATAATGTCTTTTATTCTAAATTTTTTGGTAACTGAAAAATAGAGGGGTTTAATCTCTATTTTAAATTAGTAATCGTCATGTCTGTTGCAGTTATGCACCAGAGTGACTCTAGCGTATAATTCTGGGCTCCTGAATGCTTTTAATCCAACAGTAAAATTTTTAGTGGATCCTGGTAGCATTATCCTAATGTTCCTTCCTTTGAAATATTTAACCATTTTCTTTTCGTGTTTGAATGAAAAGGGCACACCAGCGTCTTTCAGGATGAACCGAGCCAGAAGTCCCTACTTTTGGTTGGTCTATTTGTAATTAACATTTCATTGGTACATTCAGTGAGTTGTTTCCGTCCATCAGTCAGATTGGACACATGGGGTGTTTGAATGTTCAAAATCGAGCACGCACAACGTTTGGAAACTTTTGTGAAGACGCATTGATAGCGCTGCGATTCCCGGTGACAGGGAGGAGGTAAAGAAGACATGGTATGACACAGATGCGTAAAGCTAGGCGGGGCGCATTGGATGCTTGTTTTGTAGCACAACACGACAACAAAGAACTTTCAGTGAAGTGGAAAGACTGGAAAATTTGGGAAATGTTTACTCAAAGTACTTCAACAGAAATACGCAACTGAGCCAGGGGTTTTGTTGCCCAGGATCCCTTTGAGGTTCGACCTTTTTTATGCCCGAGCAACAGAGCGATAAAATTCGATGGGAAAATAATTTCCCCCCCTGTTTTTTGGAGAGGTTCTTTGCTATTTTAGTTATTTGGGTTTTAATTGTAATTCTTTAGAAGATAAGAGACTGAATTAGCTGAATAATGAAACAGTTATTCTGTGAGGGCTCCTGTCCTTCTGGTAGGATCAGCGCAAGCTTCTCACCCTGCTCACTGGGATGGGAGCCTGAGGGCTGGTGAAGTGCTAGTGAAGTACAATCTGCTACTGTATTTCTAAAGACTTTTTTTACAATGCCTTGCATGAAAAATGAAGAGGAAATAACAACATAAACTGTCTTTCTGCAACTTTCTGTTGTTTACATGACTTTTTGAACAAGTTTGAAAGGTAGAGTTGTTTTCTTAAGACAAATTAGACCCTTCAGTGGTGTCTGTCTTCTCTTCGGTTCTGAAGTGTATTGTACTGTCATTCGTCTTTAGAGGTGTGTGTTGGAAGTCATAAAAATTTAATTTGACTTGATGATTCCAGCTGACAATAAAGAGATATCGATGCTTCAGAGGCGTCTGAGGCAGATATATTTAGAACTAAACAAGGTGGTGGGCAGGTCTGTGTGGACACGGGGTACTATGCTCTGCAAGCCCCGTGACGAGCTTGGTGTAACAGTCGGCCTCCCCGATGTGGAAGAAAATTGTCAGTTCTTGTGACTCCCACAGTGAATTAGAAATATCTGAGCTCCCAAGAGTTGTTTTCAAAATCTTAAATCCTAACAGTGTTTTGATGCACTTTCTATGCTTATGTAGTGACCCAAGATAGAAAACAACTTTGAGTGAAATGTTTTCCGAATGAAAATAACTTGGGAGTTTGAGCCACATTTGTTGTCCTGTTCGGCAATACCAGTGGGCTGAGATTTCTCTCAATAGTTTGATTTTTTTTTTTCTGCGGAAAAATCTTGGTAGAAAGGAAAAAATGTTTCTCCTTCTCTGGAGATATTCAAGACCCACCTGGACGCGGCCCTGTGCAACCTGCTCTGGGTGACCCTGCTTCGGCAGGGGGGTTGGACTAGATGACCCACAGAGGTCCCTTCCAACCCCTACTATTTTGTGATTCTGTGAAGAGCAGTGTCTTTTGCAGTGTCAGGGCATAGGAAATAAACTAGTGGGTTTCTTTCGATAGTTCTGTATGTGTTGCAGATTTAATTTGAGGCATTTGGAAGCACGTAGATCAAAATGAAATTGCAGTGACCTTGAAGTGAGCAGTAAATAGCAGCCTGCTGTCAGGGTGGCATATGTGGCTTGCTTTTGAATGTGTTTTTTTAATTTTGCTTGAAATGGTTTTTCAGATACAGTTAATCACAAAGTTGCATCTTTCTTTCAAAGATTACAGGGAAATGTTTTGGGAAGGGAGGGATGGTAACTTGAACGGAGCAGGTGGATGCAGAGAGGTGGAAGGGTTAACATAACCTGTTGCGGCAAGATATTATTAATAACATAGCTGCAAGATATTAATAATAACATAATTTTGGGGTGTAGATCATGGAGATCTTGGCCTAATGAGATCTATGGTTTGTATAGTAATAATAAAAAACCAATCATCCCGTAGTTTGAGGACTTCTGTGCCCAATACAAAAAATAATAAAAATTAAAGAAAAACACAGCACAGTGAACCTAAAATGAAACAGTTTTTAATGTCAGAACTGAGCAGATCCATTCTGATAGAAAGAAAACCTGCAGCTGTTGTCTTTTTTTTTAATGAAACATTCTAATGAGAAATGAGCAATCCCTAATGGGAAAGAAGATGATCTGTTTTGGTTTTAAATCTTGAATTGTCTGTTGCAAGCATGGCAAGTTCCTTACCTGCTGTAGAGAAATGCAGCTTCTTACCGAAATGCCATGCTTTATAATTAAATAAGATTATGCTACTGAAAGCTCTGACTTCAAGAAAATGAATTTATATGTGCTAAAGTAAATTTTCCTAGCACATAGAAGTCCAGAGATGCATACTTAATATGGATGGAAAAAAAGCCAAGCGTCGTATCAGCATGGATGTTTATAAACAGGCTGTTTTTCCAGCTAAGTCCTTGGCTTTATCTAATGAACACTCACACATTTTCGTGCTGGGCTTGGTGGTCTTGGTATAGGTGAAAGCAGTTGGACTGAAATCACCGCGTCTACAAAAAACCCAGGCTCTGTGTGTCTAAAATGGAAGAACTTGGCAGCGTGAGGTAGATTATACGTCCTCTTCCCTCAGCTGTTCAAAGGGCTAGCACTTGCGTTTTGCTTATTTGTGGCCTGTCTTAAAACCATTTATTTTTAGCTTTTGGTTTCTAGAGATGATGTATTAATGTCTAAATATCTTTACACTGTATCTTGGTTTCAAGACGTTTCTCGTCAGATACTTATTTTGTGACCACCAGCCTAAACATGAAAGCATTAATTATACCAATTAAATTACTCAGCAACCTCAAATAGCTGAATAATTTTCTGACATTTGCTAACTAACAAAGCACTCTCAGTGATACAATCTGGAGAAAATTTAATTGGATCTAAATCCTTGTAAATTAATAGTGTTTAATGCAATAGCCAATTAGCAAGTTGCCTGTTTCACCGTGTTGATTTTCTTCAACTCTTGAATGGTCCGAAAAGGGCCTGGAATTTCTGTAATGCAAATATGTTTTAATGACGGCCAGTCAGGCTTTTTTAACTGTAAGTAGAATATTGATACACAGATGAATCCACAGCATCATTCTAGCTGGTTTATTTTTTGGCAAAACTCTGAAATTTGGTTCAGAAGCCTAAATTAAATCTAAAAGATGTGCAACACAGGATACATTTTGGGTGCTTTACAGGAGAGGGGCTGATAATTAGGAGGACGAAATGCTGGAAATTAGCCCTCCCCAGAGACGCCTGCAACGGCTGCATGGGCAGGCTACAGTCTCACCATCGCTGCTGAGGTCTTCAACACCTCCATGAAGCACACCTCAGTCACCGTGCACGTGCTGTTCCCCCCAAAATACTGGCAGAAATTAAGGTGAAAAGAGACATACCCTATACAAGGTGGCTTTCGGAGCTAAAGTAGTGGTGTAGCTTTGTTCTTAATAAGGGGAGTATTTTAAAAATGTTTTTTTTGGATGAAAACGTTCTCATTTTTAGGAAAATTGTTCTCTAATTTTGGTAAAATTCTGTTTTACATGGAAGCAATATTCTGTGTACCATGGGAGGGAGGAGGAGGACTATTAGAAACCCCCACACGGTGTCCCGGTGAGTTCTCTGTCTGTAATTCTCTACCAGAAATGAGTCGGGATAGGGATTTAGCCCAGCAGGGACATGCTCCCTGCTTCGAATGAAGAGCACTGAAAGTGAGATATCAGACTGGGAAATGGATTTGTAATACTGCTGATCACAGCAGAGAGATTTTCATCTGAGGAAGAAGCCGTTCATGTTCTGGCGTTTGTGGGTTTCCGGGAGTAGGTGTGGTGAGCTGTAACTTCTCTTGCCCCAGGTGAACACGAAAAAACTTCAGTTCAGAGTTATTACCTATATTTGAAAGTCATTGTTAAAATAGGGTTAGCAAATGGGTTTTGATCATTAGTCTTTCTTCAGAAATAATCCATAATGGAAAGGGTACGAAATGAACTTTTCAGAGAACAACTTCTAACGTGGAGGAGCCTTTGAACTAGTTGTGAATGTGGGTGAGCCAGTTATGGCTAAGATGAGAAAGACCTTTTGTTCTCTGTTCTCAGATAATATTGCTCTTTCTCAAGATCCTAATTTCAGGAAAGCCAAGTGCAGGTTTGGAAGTTCTTTGACCTTAAGTCTTAAAAGATAAACTTTTACCTATGTACACCAGATATTAAAAGGAGTCCAGATCTTCAAAGCACAGTAGAGCTCAAACCTACTGAAGAGATCCAAAGATACCTCTGCAACAGGTGATATATTTCCAAAGGCTCTAGAAGATAAAGAAAGATAAGCCATTCCAGGTCAAGTGCTTTTTTTATTGAATAGGAAAACAATTTGTGAATGAAGCGCGAATGTCTTTTTAGTGATCTTTGTGTGGTATCTGCAAGTTCTATGATATTTCTCAGACTGATGCTTCCAAACTTCTCATTTTGTGCCAAACGTTCTAATTGTCGGTTATTCTTATGCTGTCTTGGTGGATGGAATTTAAAATATTTAAAGTCTAAAGTGGAAATTTAGCCTTGATTTAGTCAGATTTTGAATGATTCTAAG